AGTAAAGCATTTGATTGTGTTTCTCATAGCCTGTTGATTGATAAGTTAAGTTACTATGGTGTAAAAGATAAAACTTTAGATCTATTTAAATCATATTTAGGAAATAGATATCAGATGGTATCAGCCAACAATAAAACCTCTCAGTGGAAAGAAGTCACAGCAGGAGTACCCCAGGGTTCTGTACTTGGCCCTTTTTTGTTTTTAATTGCAATAAATGATCTTCCATCTAATCTTCCTTCAAAATCAGTACTGTATGCAGATGACACCTCCTTAATAGTCTCAAGCAAATCTTTGCAAGAGGTAAAAATTAAAACTGAGGAGATGAAAATAGCAGCCGATAGTTGGTTTAAGGCAAATAAATTTTCAGTAAACAATGACAAAACTGTTTCAATTATTTTTTCACAGACAAATCTTGTATCTGAAGTATCAAATGCTAAACTGCTAGGAATCATATTAGACTGTAAGTTATCTTGGCGTAGTCATACTGAAATGGTTGTTGCAAGGTTAAGTAACTCTTTGTTTCTGCTCAGGAGGTTGAAAAATCATGTTAGTTTAAGTATGTTAATTAATGTTTATTATGCATTCTTTCATTGTCACTTAGTTTATGGGGTAATTTTGTGGGGCAGTAGTAGCGGGGCAGTTAACGTTTTTAAAAAACAGAAAAAAGCAATCCGTATCCTAGCTGGCATAAAAAGTAGAGTTAGTTGTAAGACCTTTTTTCCTGAATACAAAATTCTCACTTTACCAAGTGTGTACATTTTGCAGAATATCATTTTTGTAAAAACAAATATTGAACAATTCTCATCTCGCTCATTAACTCACAATCATTACACCAGACTAAGGAATAATTTAGAGTTACCATCATTAAGACTGGCCTCAACACAGCGCAGCTATAAATATTTACAACTTAAACTTTTCAATGCCCTCCCTGAAAATGTACGCAACTTGCCTATTAAGTCACTGAAAAATGTATTGACCGATTTTTTGAACAGAAAGGTTATCTACTCTATCGAGGAATTTTTATCTTTCAAACATGATGATTTTCTGTAAAATTCTAATTGTTAAGTAGGGTATTGTTTCTAAAGTATGTAATAATGGTTTCATGAACTTTGATATAATAGTCTTTCATAATAATGTTATTTCTGTGAACTTTATTTAAAAATTTATTGTTATTTAGTTTTAAGCTGTATCTCTCTGCCAATTTTAGCCTTGTAATTATTTTGTTATAGGCACTTACCCAACTTGTTTGCTTAACTATAAACAGTATTATTATCATCATTATCAATACATCTCAAATACTTTTGTACAAAAACCCAGTATTATTAGTTTATTAGTATAGCATGTTCATCTATTTACACTTGACTCTGTACATTGTACTTTGAATTGTATATTATCTCCATTGACCTGGCCTATTGTATGACATGTATACTTAATGGCAATAAACTATTTGAATTTGAATATATATGTATATATATATATATATATATATATACGTCCGTGAACGCGATAACTTGAGTAATTTTTGTCCGATTTTGATGAAATTTGGTTTAAAGGTGTAAAGCGGGATAAACTTGAATGAGTTCGCCAGCAGAATTCAGAATTCGTGAATGAACCAGCACGATCGAACCATGGGAACGGGGCTTTACGGGGGGTTTTATGGGGTAAAAATTGGGTTTTCTCACTTTTGACCCTCAAAACACAAAATTTCCCGATTTCTCTTTAGACCTTTTTAAAGAGCTTAAAAAAAAAACAAATAATTTAGTATATAAAAGAATTTTTGTTCAATTATTAGTAACGGAGAAAATTAAAAAAATTGTAAATTTAAAATTCCCTTGTTATTCTTATGGAGAATATTGTCAAATGTTGTAGTTTGCTTGTTTATGGATATATTTTGATCAAACTTGGCAAATTTATTTATTTTGTACTAAGCTATCAATATTTTACTCAAAAACACACTTTATTAGTTTCCTTGTAGCAGCAAACCTAGGTGCTCGTTAAACCTAATGTTATTAAAATATATTTAACTTAAAATCAATTCAGACAAATGGAAATTCGCTTAGTCGGCAGGTTTGCTGCGGCGGGGGTATTTTTTGATTTATCGATTAAAACCCATAGTAACTCCCTTTTAGAGGATTTCCCCTATAGGGAATAAGCTATTACCGTAGTACTCATGGTAAGACCTGGACCCGGCACCGATTTGCATTTTTGTTTTGAGGTCCCTAGAGACCAAAAACACCATCCGTTTGAATTCATATTATATATATATATATATATATTTATATGTGTACGTTAGCACGATGACTCGAGCAAAAATGATCCGATTTTGATGAAATTTGGTAAAAACGTGTAAGCCTACGTTTATTTGAACAAATTCACGAACCAGCATGATCGAACTATGGGAACAGGGGTTTATGGGGGGTTTTAAGGGGTAAAAATTGGGTTTTCCCATTTTTTACCCTAAAACTTGAAATTTAGCAATTTCTTTCCAAACCATTTTGTAGAGCTTAAAAACAAATAATTTAGTATATTGAAGCGTTAATATGCGCCTAATGGTTACGGAGAAACTTAAAAAAAAAAAAAAATCTGTAAATTTAAAATTCCCATGTTATTCTTATGGAGAATAAGTAAACTGTTGTTGTTTGCTTGTTTATGAACATATTTTGATCAAATTTGGAAATTGTGTTAATTTTATACTAAACTATTACATTTTACAAGAAAACAGATTTTTACCCTCCCTGTTGCAGCAAACCTAAGTACTCGTTAAACTAATGTTATTTAAATAGGGAATAAATGTGATACTTTTAAGGAGGCATTTTAGTGTAAATCCAATCAGGCAAATGGAAATTCGCTTAGTCTGCAGGTTTGCTGCGGCGGGGGTATTTAGACAACATGTCGTCACATAATAGGACTTGCTGATGCCAAATCTGTAGAGGAAAAGGCAATAAAATGAAATATAAAAAAACATTTTTGAGACCTTGTCTATATTTTAGATCTTCTCCAGCTTTGGATCAAGTAGAATCTTTGATAAGAGCTTATTATACAGTATTACACAGCAAGGGATGTGTATTATATATTATTGAAATGTATTGTTATAAATGTATCATATATTATTGAACTTAAGAGGTGGTCTAGTACGCTGACGACTCATCTGACGACTAGTTGCACGGCCACCGTCAACTCCAGGCCTCGGCCTGGTAGGATTTGCAACGTTGCAAGTAGCGTTGTTTAGTGCCAGACGTCCCATAAGATAACATGGCAGATAGGTGACAGACAGCAGCTCATTAATTCGTGAATTATTCGTTTAAATTTATGAACATAAAATGTAATAATAAATTGGAAATAAAACATATAGAATTGAAACCCAAACAATATGAATATGTTTCTGTACATTTAAAGTGTAGTCAATAGCTTACATAGCCCAGTAACAAAGCTTTGTGTTCTTAAAAAGTACACAAATATCATTAGCTGACTCCGCCGAAGGATTGGTTACTAGACTATGACAATATTTAATCCGCTTAAAAATATACAGATATAGATTTTTAATTCATATTGATTCGGTTTTCTATTCTGCATGTTTTATTTTCAATATTTTAATAAATTTATGTTCCTAAATTTAAATTTAAATCAATGAAGTGCGAATCAAATGAGCTGATGTCACCTGTCTGCCATTTTATCTTATGGTACAACTGTCACTAAACAACACCCCTTGCGACGTTGGCAATTCCACCAGGCCGCGGCCTGTAGTTAAAGGTGGCCGTGCAATGGCGCAATCTCACGTCCAGGCGCCACCCTGACAAATTGTCACCATGTCAAACTGCCACCCCACACTTAGTGGTGGGTTGTCGTGCACGCTTGCGCGTATGTGCCACTCTGACATGGGGCTACCACGCAATCCATCACCTAAAACTTCTTTTTTAGTTGGCACGCTGTTTCGGTGGCTCCTTGGCGTGGTGGCATCTTCGCGCTCTTCGTCTGGGTACAAAATCATCCTAGCTTGGGATTGTTGTACTTATAGCGAATGTTCACATTTCATTATTTAAAGGCTATCACCAGAACCACAGCTACCTAAAAAAAGGTGGCCGTGCCAGAACCCTTACACACTATAACAAGCAATAATTCTACCATGCCTACTTATATTATAAATGAGAAAGTTTTAATGTGTGGATGTACCTATGTATGTTTGTGACAAGTAAACGCGAAAAATACTGATTGGATTGGGCTGAAATTTGGTGTGATGATACCTCACATTCCCGATTAACATATAGACGCATTCTTATCTCAAAAGTCCTTTCGGGCTCCGCCCCAGTGGCTCTTGAGTTTCCCATGTTAGCCTTATGAGTAATCATATTTAAAAGGAATAAAACCATTTCGTCAGCTGTTTCAATTACACAAGTTGGTTCTATGATATTAAATGGCATTAACAAGTTATAAGGTTTAGGGTGCAGTACTATTGATTTTAATATAAAACTTCATTATAGATTTTTTTCTAATTTATGTCAATTGATACTAAAGTGCAGCCGAATTTTGTTTCTAAAAGCGTTGGTGGATGTGCAACTTTTTTATACAACAAATGTAAAGATCAAAGTGTTTCTATTTTGTGTCCTCTTCCCGTTGCAAAGCACGGGTACAGCCAGCTAGTCATTGAAATAAAGTACAAACTAGGCCTATAAAGTATTTTTGAATCTATTTGTATTGCAATGCTTATAATGTGAAGTATTTGATCTTTGCCCTTTGGATCGGTCAGTCAAGTCAAGAATTTTATGCAGTATTCTGGAGCATACTTTATACTTTTTGATGTTGGATCTTGTTCTATATGATGATGCTTTAAAATTATGTGAAAATATCTCCATCTCCTAATCTAAAATATTAAATTTGTATAGTACCGAATGGGCTGTATATACCGCTAGTTCAATAAATTTACCATACGCTTCAGTTTGATGATTTGCAGAACACCCGACCTTGATATCAGGCGCAGTCGTTAGGTCACGTGACGCGACTCCATCTTTGGCTATAGCCACGAGGTTGTGTCAAGGAGTTATTTTGTGATTTTTCCGGTGTTTGGGTAAATTACCTAATTAAAATGCCTTCTAGTAATCCTTTACCCCCAAAGGAAAACTCTCTTTTCAAACGAATACTGGTAAGTTGGAAGTCAATTTAAATAACAATAAAAATAATTTTTATAATTTACAGTATCACTAAGCAATGGATTCTCCACCAGTTTCGGTTTGAAACATAACCCTCTTGTTTTTTTTATATGATTGGTCTCGATTCTATTTTAAGGTTTTTTAAGTCATACACTGAAATTGTTAAGACATTTATCTATTAAGAAAAGAAGCATTAGAGTTAATAGAACCAATGGAGCCTTATAATACTTCAAAATACATCAAATATTGTGGGCTATTAAAAGTTAGGCTAGGTTTTACTGAAGCACCAAATTAATAATATCAGCTAGTTCTGGTTATTGATAGTCAACAATCTAAACAATCCCATGTTTAATTATTTTTATTTGTGCCATTATTATTCTTTGAATAATTCTGAGATATGAATAAACTTAAACTCAGAATTTAGGCTAGGAAGTGCCCCAACACTTCAGTATTTTCACTTAGGAATAAACCTACCATGCAAATCAAGTACAATTTTAGTTACATTGGTAGGTCTAAGCCTTACATTAGTTTGGTAACCACGAAGTTTGTTGGCACTAATACATTGTGTTTTTTTTCTGCTAAATCCATAGGCCCTAGAAGTATCTATATAAATAAAATTACAGTTTTGTCTGTACATTGCTTAGAATCATGCAGTTTTTGGTTATTTTGACGTTTCATAGCTTAACCCTGCGAGTGTCACTTGTTTTGGCCTTAATGTCTGCCTATTTTTTGCTCATTTGCAAGGTTTTATTAAAACAGATCTGAGAAGCTTGAAAACAATGTTAATTATACTGTTCTATATACCATTTTGTTTGGAAAATCATGGGCTTCAATATTATACATAGAACATAAGGAACATTTGTTTCAAAAAATTTTTTTAGGTAAAAAAAAAATATTTTGGAAAATTTTCAAAAAAAAAAAATAAGTTTGCGCTCAATGAAATTGTATAAATTATAGGCCTATAAATATTTGAAAATAACCACTTTGTTCTAAATTTTATGAGGATTACAAATAGGCCTATATAATAATATAAGGAAGTAGATTTGCAAATAAATAAGTTATGGGCAAAAAACAGATTTCAGTACATAGCGTTTAGCTAAGAATACATAGCCTAACCATAGCTAGGAATCTGGCTGATAATTTACATCAATATCACTACCTACTTCTTCAGGATCATCAACCAGCCCTTCAAAATCACTTAAATCTTCTTACAATGCACCACGTATATCACTACTTTTGATTTTTAACACTAAAAACAATGATAAACTTAATAAAACACATCAGTCATCGGTCCGAGGTTAACCAAGCTGTTTACAAATACGCACGTCAGCTGTCTGCTACAATATTTTCGGAACTAAAATGAATAGCGCTTAGAGACAGACCTCCGGAGAAAGCTCTGAATCTGTCAAATAAAACGATACCGGTACCTAACTCGATCCAGTTCAATCCGATTTTGTCAGTCATAGAGCCTTCGCCGTAAACAGTGTTTGTGAGTCGCTGCAGCGACACAAAACACTGACACAAAGTGTGTTGTGTGTCGCTGCAGCGACAAATAAAACTCGGAGGACTAAGAAAGCCGAAACGAGTCTTATCTATATTTCTGTCTGTATGTCTGTTTGTCTGTTTGTCCATTCTGTGGTTGCGTCTGTAACTTCAAAATGTCATTTTAAAAAAACTAGAGTACCGATCAAGGTTCTAAACATTTGTCTGTATTTACTGAATTGGTGAGATTGTCATTGGCTATAAAAACCTGGCCTCGCTTCTTTGAAAACAAAATAATGTGTTATCAAAAACCCAATTTTGTTCGATTTTTGTCAAATTTTCTCCTAATGTTTACTATTACATTTGATTAAATAACGATCAGCTGTTTGGATTAGTTATCACTTCTAGCTGTCGCTGATATGTTTACAGTAAAAGTTGTTTACAAATACCGCAACCATTTCTGATCAAGTTTTGTTAGCACATCCAAACCAAGTGAGATAAAAAACGTTGTGCCTTACAAAAAAGGTTTCCACTCATTGACGGCGCTTCAAGGACAGTTGTGTAAAGTGCAAAGTAAAAAATCACAACTGCAGTGGGTGGCTGGGTGATCGTGGATGTTGCTGCGATCTTGGTAGATCTTTCTGATTTTGCTGTGATCGTAACAGAGGTTTAACTTACAGATGTAGCTAAATTCGCTTTTCCAATGTGTCACTTTTGGTTTTTACTACTTACATTTCGACAACGATATCGGTACTTTTCCTACTTAGGAAGTAAAACTACAAACGTCCAAAACCCCAGATTTGTGCGTTTTTTGTCACATTTCCTCCGAATGTTTGCTAGATATATGTACCAATTATCGTTTAGAGAGAGATTACCGGTACGTAATCTTTTACATAAGAAACCTTTGTTTGGATAAAGGTGGTTTCTTCAAACTGTCATTAATATGTTAACATTGAAAGTTGCTTACAAATAATGCTATTAATTGGAAAAAACTTTGATTCTTTAAAACTTAAAAGAAATTTAAAACCAAGGGAGATTAATAACTTCGGTACTGCACCACATCCAAGAGAAAGTTTTTTTTTAGCAAACCATAGTGAGTTTTAAAGCTTTAAGCTACGTTGTTGACGTTACATGTTACATGTTTTGTGGCCTGTGTATTTATTTATTTATATATTTGCTAACGGATTAACACCTATATAAAACAGTTTGATTAGAAGGGCAGTTTGAATTGGTTGTAAGTACTATAGTTATTTTCTTAAATGTAAACGTTGGTTTATGGTACAGCTACTTTTCCTTAGAACCGGTGGTAGCAGTAAGAATCATTTTTATGTAGAAACACATCACTATTTACAACTATAGTTATCGTTAGTGCTGCACCTTATTTCTTATTAAATTTAATTGATGTCCTACTGTATAATTTTTGCGTTTTCTGTCTAGAACCAAAATGTTAGTTTATGCTATGAAATGATAAAACATTATTGAAAGATTTTTTAGCAAACCATCATGAATTTTTAAAGCTTGGCGTTGTTAACGAATAATTTTTTTGTGGACTGTGTATTTATTTACTTATTTATATATTTGCCAACGGATTTACACAAATTTTACAGTTTGATTAGGCCTAAAAACGATTATCATTTAACATTTGATGACACTATCAAAACTTTCAAATAATTATTTTGTTTGTAATTTACTTTGGTTAAAGCGTAGCAAATCCCCTAATTCAATTCTGCTATTGTGTGTGTATGTCTGTTGGTAAAGCATTAATGTCCTTATTTCTCAGTGTTTCTTGGAAAAGACAAGAGCACCTTTGTCAAGCAAGAACATTTTTTTTTTATTTAAAATTATACGAATTATTTTTTGTTTTCCTATTCATTTTTTTACCTCCCATCTAAATTAACCTTTTCGCAACTCGAGTCTACGCACAGGCCCTGCCTATGTAGACTTTTTCCTTTGTTAGAATGTATTTTTTTCACTTTTTGGCTTTATTTCTACAGAATATAATTTTTTGTTTTGTTACCTATCTAGTTGTAATGTTTGCTGTATTATATTTTAAGTAAAAAAAATTACAATGTAATTATATGTATATAATTTATGGGAAATAAAATATTATTTCATTTCATTTAATTTTTTTAATGAAAATTTCAACCCGAATAAAACGTGTGCAGTAGTGAGGTTGAGGTAGTTTTTTAACTACTTTTAACCAGTGTGAAAAGTAACTTTCAATTACAGGCCTACCTGAGGGCTCATAGATCTATGAAGCAATTCCTTTTATCATTAGATATAAAATATGGACTAACACGATCGGGTGACATTTAAATGTGAAGCATTCGTTTTGGCTTTGAAACTGTCAGATATTGTATTTGCGAAGGTTTATATATATTCCTATACAGTAATAGTTTTGCCAGCATATCTGGAAAAATGCACACTAAATATGCAAACCAACTCCTGTTCTGAATATAAGGTTTAAATTTACTACAAGATTCCCGTACGTAGAACGGGCAAACAGCTAGTCATAAATAAGTAGCCTAAGTTACTCTTTTCCAATCCGACTTTTTAGAAACTATGCAAGTTAGCCTAACTTATTAAGCTAAGATAGACCTAACTTACTCCCAAACTAATCTTCACCGACCTGGTGTTCCTCTTTTAATATTAAACACAATTTTATTTTGTGTCTTTTCTTTGGGTTGGTTAAGGAATATAGGCCTAACTTAAAATGATTTTAAGTTTTCTACTAATTGCACACACCACAACTAAGTTAGGTAGGGCCTAACTTTGAAACTGATAACTGAGGCTGGGCCTACGGTACTCGTGCATTTTATGGCATAGGCAAAAAATGTGCTTGCCCCAAAGCTTATTCTCTTCTCCAAGACGTTTATGAGTGTCACCCAACTTAGCGTAGGCTATAACTTAACTTATTTTATCAAAATTAACTTAAACTTACAGATCATATTTACGGTACCTAAGTATCTTGAAAATGTTATGAGGTTGTGCACCAGAATTAAATATCCAGATCACCATTGTAGACCTACCTAATGCTTTTCCCATTGCTCTCAAAGAAAAATGCATTTTCCTAAAAATCTGGACAATAAACTTAAGTTAGGCCTAAGTTATCCAATAAACCGTTTTCTTTTGTCATTAAAAAATTAGATATTTTCCATTTATAGGTACATATTTTACTAATCTTTCACAATAATAATTAAAAGCTACCTATATAAAACTACTACTAAAAGGGTCGTGTTGTGGTACGTCCCAGTGAGAGGGAATGATGGTGGAATAGCCTTTACTACGTTAGCCTAATCCTTAAATTTGTCCTTTTGTAGCATCCAATGATTGAAGCCATTTTAAATTTGTGTTAAAAATGGTAAACAACTGGGCATTGTAATTCATGCGTGTTGAGTCACTTCAACATTGTTTTATGAGAAAAGATGGGGGTGCTAAATCTCCTTTGGCATGGTGTTTTCAGCAATGTGGCGTAGTGCGAGAAATGTGGGCGGAAATATTTGCTTAACTGGGAAACGTTGCTTTTCCGGTGCAACCACGTGAGCATTCAACTTCCTAGAGAGGAAGCCTACAAGTTGCAACTGGAAGCTTGTGGCGTTGAAAAACATGTTCCTGGCCAATGCTCGTATTTTGTTGAGGACTGTCATGAAACTAGTTACCTCCTATCTTTGGCTGAAATCACCGAAACACAGCTACTTTACTAAGAACTGAGGGGTTGCTAAGTTGCACCAACACAGATTGGTTCTCGTTCTATTGAGCAAAGTCCTCGTTCATCATGCAATCCAGTGCTTGGAAAACTCGGCAGGCCTAACTCGGTTGTGGAAATCGACGAGGCTAAGTTTGGACGGAGTACCCTTAGGATACAGTAGAGGGCCAGTGGTTCTTCGGGAGCATGGAACGTGAATCCAGGGAAGTCGTTCTTGAAGCTTAGTCGATACGGGCAGTGCTGATATCTTAAACCCTTCTTGAAAGTAGGTTTCATCAGACCTTGTTTTGAGAGCAGTTCGGTTTAACAGCCGCTTTCTAAAAATCTCAACATTTCCACTCCCACACTCTGCGATGGGAACAATACGCTATACTCTACAGGATGTTATAGGCTATAAATATAGTAAATACACATCCTGTCTTGTAATGAAACGGTTGCTTGTAATTTAAATTTCGATAATATGTTCTTTTTTACTGTATTACGATGGATTTGGAAAGCATCAACTAATATTAATAAAGGTACCTATTAAAATAAGAGTTTTATGGACTCTTGCCTATTGCCTACAACTATAGGCCTAATTTATGCCACAGAAAGTATTTGACTTTACCGTGTTTTGGGTTTGTTTCTCACTCATTTATCTACTTAAGAAAAAAAGGAGATATCTTAAGTTTAGTTTATTTTGTAATCAGCCAATTCATGAATTTCTTCAGAATTATGTTTTATAATTCCAAATGTAGGCTACAGCATTTCATTTTTTAAAGTTTTTAGGGATGCTTCGTTTAACCAACCTTTTGAGTTATCCAACCTAGGTCCAATCCCTTTAGGGCCCATTAAGAGGGGGACCTACTGTATTTACCCCAGGCTAAACAGGTACACAAAAGTGTGGGCATTTATAAAAGTATAAAAATTAGCAATTCTTTGCATAGTTCATTGGATTTGTCATGACAAAATTAATTATGAATCATGGTCATTTGTTGGTTAGAGGGTATAATCTGTGAAATATGGTACAAATTAAAAACTTGAGAAATCCTTTAAAATTCCCGTTGGCTAAAAAAAGGGAACTGTATTTGAAATTTAAAACTATTTTAGATTTTTACCGTCGGTTTTATGGATTTGCAAGAGCACAGGTGCATACTATAGGTAGGTCTAGGGCCTATATTTAAAATAGACTAATTAATACTTAGTGAAAAAAACTATTCATGCATTTTAAAAGCAATTTAAGAAAGATATTTTTATAAAAAATATAGATGTCAATCAAGGAGCGGAGACGGGATCAAGGGTAGGATGGCGTGGGTGGCGGCGCTCTACTCTACACAGCCCTGTAAATGCAGTAAGAAACGACTTTGATCTTTAGCAGTCTCACGTCCGCCGCTCTCATCCCTGCACCTCACTAGGGTTCATATAAATGTTTTCCTATTAGGGCTAGTTATTTTTAGTTATATGAATCCGTGTTACAATAGCTAATCTAATGTTTGAAATTATGTTTTTTATACTACCCGGTATTGTTATTTTTCAGAAATGCTATGAGCAGAAACAGTATAAGAATGGATTGAAGTTTGCCAAGCAAATCTTATCAAATCCCAAGTTTGCTGAACATGGTGGTATGTAATTAATTAATTTAATTTAATGTTAAGTATTATTGCAAATTATTCTACATGTTAATATTTAAATTATGTTTATGAATCGTAGTTAGACTGTTTAATACTCTTAACTTAAGGGTGTTCTTAATAAGTTTGTGAGTTTTTTCTGAACTAATTCAAAATACAATCAGGGTAAAAAATTGAATAGAATGAATATGCCCAGTTCATATTTGTTACAGAAACTTTGGCAATGAAAGGTCTGACACTTAATTGCTTGGGGCGCAAAGAAGAAGCATACGAGTATGTTCGGCGTGGCCTGCGTAATGACTTGCGATCTCACGTGTGTTGGCACGTGTATGGACTCTTGCAACGGTCAGACAAGAAATATGATGAAGCAATAAAATGTTATCGCAATGCTCTGAAATGGGAAAAAGACAATATTCAAATTTTACGTGATTTATCACTTTTGCAAATTCAAATGCGAGATCTGGAAGGCTACAGGGTAAGCAAGTTTGAACAATTGGTATGGTTACTGCTAAACGTAAACTTATAGAGCCAATCGTAGATATATAATTATTTCCTAGTTACTTTTGTTTTTAAGTGTAGGCCTACTATTGATAGTGCACCTTATGTTAAAAACTGTGAAAAGCTTGATAATTTTTCTCAACAGGGTGTAAGATGTACAGTAGTTTGGTACTTAAAGAACTAAACTATCCCAGACAGAAAACATTGTTAAGTTCATTGATACTCAAACTGCTGATCGGTCATAATAAGGTCGATCGAGGTCCTTTGTAGTGCCATCCGTCTCAAAATATGTTGGTTGCTCACTTGAAAATTCAAGGTCAGCTGATGAGTCATTTTACTTAAAAACAATTTTCAAATAAAAAAATTATATATTTCTCTTTAGTGTTTGTGCTTTTCAGTAGAACCAGGGTTAACTGAAATAAAGGATGGAGAGCCGTTTCAGATAACCAATTTTTCGGTTAACCCGCTATATGCTAAAAATAGACTATGCATTAACAATCACGGTGTGTAGAAAAAATGAATTTAAAACAATGTCTATATAATACAGTGTTTAATTTCAGCTACAAAAATGTTACAATGGGTTAGATAATACTTTAATCTAAACAACTAAAGTTACTTAGGTAATCATTTTACAGAAATCACTGAAATCAGTGATTTTTGTTTGCTTTTTGGTAAGTCCTTCACATTGTTTTTGATTTGTGATGTCCCACCATCTTGTAATTAAAAGAATTCTATTCAAAGGATTTAATTGTAGAGAATTTATTTTTAACTTAATGGCTTAAATATTATTGTAATAATTTAGTAGGCGTTGACTCGCTGCATTATTTTGCAAATTTTAGGGCAACCTTCAATAATAAAAGTGGCTGTAATTTAACTTGTTTAAAATCTCGGTACTTTGGTATTATACGGAGGCCAGTCTTATACAGCGCACTGCAGCGGTTATGTTAGGTTGAGTTATCATAAATAAAAATATGACTCATCTGTTATCGTTCGATTAATAACAAAACGAGTAAAGTACTACAAACATATTTGTGATTACCTACCCAACCTAACATAACCACCTCAACGTACTGTAAAATAAGTGGCCTCCGTATAATACCAAAGTACCAAAATCTCTACTAAATGAAATCTCTATTAAAATTGCTGCATTAATTTTGTCATCGGGTGTCACTTTGCCGATTCCGTCATCTACATCGTCTTCTGTGTTTTCCTTTGTGCTGTCAGCTGGTTGCAAAATGCTTCTACAATATCTTAGTCGGTTAGTTCGTCAGCATCATCGGCGACGACTAGTGAGGGGTCGGTACCACTTTTTCAATGTCGGTCCTGGTACCGGTTCCTAACCAAAATCGATTCTTGTTCCCGGTTCCGGTACCATCGGTACCTCATTTTAAATTAGGCTACTTAATTGTTTTATTTTAAAAACAAAATATCCCTAAGTTATTTAAATTTTTAAAACTGATTTTTTTTCATTAGTTTAGGTTGGTTGTATTAAGCGATTAAGAAAATAAAACTTAGGCCTATTTGTACAAACAACACTTTGACAACCAAACACATTCAAAACAAAACAATATTTACCATATCAGAAGTGTAGGCCTATATAAATTTAAAATTTAACATAGACTACTAACCTTGGTAATAAAAGGGGCTCTGGAAATTTGTTAAACTAAATTAACTGTCTGTTAAGTTCTAGCTTTTAACTTTTTTAACTGTCTGTTAACTTTCTAGGACGTTTTAAACAAAACATTTTTGAAATAGGCCTGAGTACATGTTCAATTTTAGGTTACAGTTTAAGATGCAGGCTTGTTGAAAAAAGGTTTAACAAAGGCTTGGTTTATGACTTTGTTGGTTTTTTTGTAGGCCTAGTACCTGTACCGGTATTGTGGGTTTAGGTTAAAAGTGATTTTAGACCCCCCAACTCTAGATATAAGCTGGTTTTTTTGTAGGCCTAGTGCCTGTACCGGTATTGTGGGTTTAGGTTAAAAGTGATTTTAGACCCCCCAACTCTAGATATAAGCCTATTAAATATGTTTTATTTTGCAAATCTTTTGTTTTTTATCAGTTTTAAAATACTTCCAAACTTAGGAAGCCATTAATAAGAATTTATGACAAATTAGTACCAAAAACAACAACTTAAGTTAGGCCTACTTCTACATTCTTGTAATAAACCAATCCACTTTCACTTATTATTTACACACAAAACAAGTTTAATTATTCACATCAACGTATACATTTTATTTTAGAAATCTGGCAAAACAAAGGCCAATTCTTCAATTTTGAAGAAATTAGACGGACGACGCTAAACTTCATTTTAAACATCCTCATATCGTTCGAGAAAGACAAAAACAAAATGAAGTACGAACCACTGAACATGCAAACAATAACAAATAAAAGCCCTTTTTGTTTGCTGAATGAAGGCTTAGCTGTTGTCATGTAGCCATGTAGTCTCATCCATCAAAAAATTCATTTACCCGTTAACTTGAAATTTGTTGCCATTTATCACAGTGGTTACAGATCGAATGCAATATGATTTGTCAAAATCCTGAGTACTCCAATATTTAACCATTGGAAATACAGTACAAATATTAGGCCTATAATTCAGCTGGACTGCACTGAGTCAAACAGTTAGAGTGAACTTGACTGAGTTTGAGGTTTGAGTCGTACATTCAGTGCTGTTCTGCTGTTTGTGTTGCTTCGTACAAAACAAAGTCAAATAAAGAACTCTATGAATAAAATAAAATAATCTTGTGACTTTTAACTATTATTAATGTTTCTAATAATTTTGTCGAGTCAAAATGAATAATTTATTTGATCCAGTCGTTATTAAGCTTGCCTTCTGTCTTCTGTTGAAGATGGTGGAGCAATTGGTGTTGATGATTGCACCACTCTATTAGCTGACGATAGTGACGACAACTTAACCAACAAGGATGCATTGCACGACGTCCAATAATATTATTCAGTGTCCAAAATATAATTTTTGACTGTTTTACTGTCTTTATTGCTTTGGACATCATGCAACAGGGCTGAGTTATTGGACGTCGTGTACCTGGCTTAACAGAGCTTTGGACGTGGTGCTAATGCTAAGTTTTTCAAAAGTATAAAGTGCGCTGTTGCACGACGTCCAATTTCATGATGTCCAAAGCTTGTAGAAAGACTTTTTTGTTGAAGTTACTGTACTTTTTGACGTCGTGGCACTTGGACATCGTGCAACAGTCAAATATTTTGTATTGGATGTCGTGCAACAACTCAAAAATTATGTTTTGGACGTCGTGGCACTGAATAATAATATCATTGGATGTCGTGGCACTTGGACGTCATGCAACACTCCCACCAACAAATACTGAAATAATCATGCCATAGCCACTATTGATAATATTTTATGATAAATATGCACTTTCAAATAGCCTGAATATTAGGCGGAAGAAAGCATAATTCAATATTGCCCTTTTTAACTTGCTGGGATGCGAGGACGCATTATCAATTAATAAAAATCTTTTTTCGGCAAACCTTTTTCAGCTAAAAACTTTTCAACTTGTGGCACAAACTTATAAAAACCATTCTTCTGATGTCATCAAAGTTTTATTGTTACCATTTTTCACGGCTGCTCTAAAAACTTAGGTTTAGATTTAACCCATTCACAGACTGTAGACACACCAACTCCCTAATTAGCCGCAACAGTCTTTAGTAAACAACCTTCTTCAACTTGTTTGATAGCAGCTAATTTACTTGCTGCTTATATTAAGAGATAACCAGACATTTTCACTCTGAAGCCATGGAACAGACACACACACACACACACACAGGGCCGCCCCAAGGGTAATAGACGCCCGGGGCGAGATTTAAACTTTCGCCCCCTCCCCAAAAAAGATTTGGGGGGCTTGCGTCAATAGACTCAACGTCCAATATATTCATATCGATTGTTTTGCAAATATTTTTTATAAACATAACAACTACACTGAACTAAATTACTAAAAACGTAGAATTTAAGACTCACATCACGAAACAACTATGAGTTGACGTAAGAGTTTGAGCTTTGAGGTTAGAAACAAGCAAGTGTAGGTGGAGCGTGTGGGCGAATACGCACTACGCAGTGTGTGTCAGTGTTGTCTCGGACTCGCAGTATTGCCAACAAGTCACATGCCAGACGTAAAAGTAGTAATATCACGAGTTGTATAATAATAAAACAAAATCTATATATTGCTTTTTTTAGAATATACATTGTCATTGATTACATGTTTACGAGTTTCCCGTAAAAAAATTTGTTTGCGGTTTGCCGATAACGTTGTTTAATTGTTACCTTCCAAAGCCGCGGCGCCTAGGGCGGTCGCCCCACTCGCCCCACCCTCGGGGCGTCCCTGCACACACACACACACACACACACACACACACACACACACACACACACACACACATCTTTACGGTACACAACTTCACATAAAAACACCCGGCAACATACAGTACACACTTTCTAATTACAAACAGTACACTACTGCAACGGGTTTTTAACAGCACAACTAACTGTGAAAGTGACTGATGGGAGGGCAAGGGGAATTGCCAGGTCGCTGGCCGGAAGTAGTAAGTGGGGCCGGGAGGGAAGGTGAATCATCTCTAGGACACGTCAAACGTCTCACGCATCGCCGTACAATACCGATATGTCACGTAGGCATTCTTTCTAGAGAGAGGGGCTCGGCGCTACACCTCGCTTTACATATTACGTATTGTACTATACTTTTGTACTAATATTTTAGGCCTGCATTAATTTATGGAACCGTTTCGGTTATCCTGTGGTTCTACTGTATTTTGTGTACTGTTTCATGAAGTGTTAAATGTTCTAGATTTTTGTGAAACAAGTATTAAGTTATGTATAAATTTTTCTGGAGTATTCATTCAAACATGGCAGTATTGTTCGATACACAACATATTATGTTTATGTTGAAATTTTGTACTACTGATCAATAATAATGTAACTATGTTTCTTTGTCAGGACACAAGATATCAACTCTTCATGTTGAGACCAACTCAACGAGCATCTTGGATTGGTTTTGCCATGTCTTATCATCTTCTAAAAGATTATGATATGGCCTTGAAGATATTAAATGCATTTAGAAAGACCTTACTTCAGGTATCTAATTTAGTTATTATGTTAAGATGTTATCTTGTTGTAACTTAGGGTAGTAAAATCCATCTGATCAGTGTTTTTAGTCTGTTGTTTTGATGACTTGCTTTTTTTAAGAGGTGGGTACGTCCTCTTTCAATCTTCATTTGCGCATCGACATGGGCCCCGTAGTTTTAAAGCTTTTTCGTGCTATACCATAAATTCACTTCCATCTGGTAAATTTGTAAACTTGTAAATTGGTACATTATGACATTTTTGCAAATAAATGAGATTGAAAAGAAAAACTGAACTAAATTACGTCGAACGTTAAATAAATTTATTTTTGTACCAGTGGTGTTTTGAGAAAAACTTAACTAAATTACGTTGAAAGGTAACTAAATAAATTTTTTACCAGTGGTGTTTTGAGAAAAACTGAACTAAACTACGTTGAAAGTTTAAATTAAATTTATATTAGTGGTGTGTTGGTACTGAAAGCCAATGCTTAGTATTTGTACACCACTGGTTCTTCAAAATACCTCCGTCGCAGCAAACTTGCAGACCAAGCAAATGATTAGATTTACAATTAAATATCTCCTTTAAAATATTACATTCATCCTATATTTAAATTGGCCTAGCATTAGTTTAACGCTAGTACTGTCTAACGAGTAGCAACAGGGAAGGTTTAAAAAATAAAAGTGTTTTTGTTAAATTTTAATATGTAGTTTAGGTATGAGTTAAAGCATTTTCCAAATTTGATCAAAATAATATGTTCATAAACAAGCAATCTACAACAGTAGGCTACTTATTCTCCATGAGAATAACATATGGATTTTAAATTCTTAATTTTTTGGAATTTTCTCTGTAACCATTAGGCCCATAGTAACGCTTCAATATACTAAATAGTTATGTTTTTTAAGCTCTGCAAAATGTTTTGGGAAAAAAACTAATTTTTATGTTTTTAGGGTTAAAAATGGGAAAAAAAATTTTACCCTATAAAGCCCCTCCATAAACCCCGTTACCATAGTTCGATCATGATGGTTCACGAACTTGTTTGAATAAATGTAGGTTTACACGGTTATACAAAATTTCATCAAAATCAGATCACTTTTGCTTGAGTTATCCTGCTAACGGACAGATATATATATGAATTTGAACGGATGGTGTTTCTGGATTGCTATTGACCTCAAAACAAAAAAGTAAAACAGTCCCGGGTCCAGGTCTTACCACGAGTACTATGGAAAGTCCCTACACCCTTATTCCCTATATGGGAAATTTTCTGAAAGGCCCGGTACAGAGAAAAACCCAACATTAACAGTTTAGTCAATTCTAAAATGATCCAATTCCAAACTGTTAATGCCAGAATTGTGCACTATTTGACAAACACAAGGGTTGCGATCACACTGGTGGTAAGTGGATTTAAATGTGAGATTCCATTCTCTATGCCTAATACAGTCGATCAAATTTGGAATCTTTTCTTGAGATTGATGGATTTCAGATTCCAACAAAAACCAGTTAGAACGTTTTCTCCATAATATAATAAACATGTATAATATAATGCCATTAGTGTTGACCTGTGTCATATTGTTTCAGACTATAATTGACTATGAACATAGTGAGTTGTTGCTGTACCAAAACATGGTGATCCAAGAGTCCGGGGCCCTAGTAGATGCTCTCAGACATCTAGATCAGTTTCAGACTGAAATATGTGATGAACTCTCTGTACAAGAAATACATGGTAAGAAGTTTTATCATTGTTGACTGACATGGTTACAGCTTTAGTTGTCAAAACTGATATAACAGCAGTAGGTGACATGTTTTTGAATAATTGACTATTAAAAACGATAAATCAGATGATATATTTTTATAATCACTAGTCAGGGGATAAATGTAGGTAGAATAGTTTTGGATTGGCTTGTGGACAATCGGTATTCTTCTTTAGAATAATTTCATACAAGCCCAACGATCGACAAAGTTAACCATTAAAATAATATTGCAGCCTTTTATTACAAATTTAACTTTTGTTGTTGGTTTAAAGTTTTTTTTAAATCCCAGTTTCAAATATATCATAGGTCTATCAGGTACAGTTTACTTTGGACAAAAGGAATTAATTTTAAAGCTATTTTAACCCACTGCATATGTACCAAACATTTCCGCCTGGCTAATAAGCCTGGCATTCCTAGAAGGAACTGTTCTGTCCTGAAACATTGCTACTACTGTAGTTCAAACTTATTCCGAGGGATCGCAGCACTCGTCAGGTCAATAATTTCTTTCTGTCTACCTGCAATAGTTATTGTGTGTATTTTGGTTGCATATCCTGTTTTTGCAACAAGTTAGAGATTTGAGGTATGTTTTCTGTCAAAATGCCGTGGCTGTCTTGTTTACGATCGGGTGTAATAGACTGGTATAAAGATAATTTTGAATCGTCTTCCTATGTTTCTGAGAAGGAAGATAACAACTTATTACAAAATAATAATGAATAAAGTATATTATTGTTGCTTTTGTAATTCACTAAAAGAACTAAGAAATAGGAATTCCTCTGTGTAGGTAGGTCAATTTCGGTATGCCAATGGATTGAAAATATTTGACTAATCACTTGTTATAATTTTTGGACAAAATCGTTGAAACACTTTTTTGCTGCTAGTTCATCAAGTAATTCATCAGTAATTCATCAAGTAGTTCATTAAGTACACATATTACGGTAGGCGCAGTATTCCAATGCAAACCTAATTGTACTTGCATCATTGATTATAGGTATGAACAGTTGTGAGTTAGAATTACATCTATCTTGAGCAGAGTATTACATTTTAGTAAAACAACTTTTATGATAAAAGATTGATAGTTCCATGATTATCAAAGTAGATATATAGCTGAAAGGTTATCAGTTTAACGTTAATTTTATTTTGTTCAAACATTCCTCTAATGAAATTACTTGAAAAAGAGTGCATTGCAATGAATTGTTTATATGTTTATGCAGCCTGGTGATATTGCAATTATAAAAAAAAAATTGTCAATCATTTTACCTAAATAAAATAAAGACTCTACGGTACTTGGAAGTTTTGTTAGAGTAATGTATTAAACACAGGCTAATTATTTTCACTTTAGACTTAAACATAATGGGATATCTAATATTTTAGTCATACATTAATGCTTTACCCTACATACTCTGATGTCCCCATTTGCCATTTAGATAGGTACACATTTATTTTAACTTAAATATACGCAAATGATTATTTATAGTGACAGATAAAATAAAGGCGTAACAAAATAACTAAATTAAAATAGGCCTGTGTGGCTTAAAAATTTAATAATAAGCGGTCCAGTTGGATAACTGATAATGTGTTCTATAAGTTCTTTTGGCTAATATGTCAAACGGCACTTGTACATTCTCTAGGTAGTACTGTAACAATATAAATGTTCAAATAAAAATTTTAAATTAAATACCTATTACAACAACATTTAAAGTTAGACCTCTCTGTTGAACGATCCGTTTTCTCAAGTTTTGCACAGTTTTGATCCTAAAGGTTTGTTGTCAAGCTAAGTAATAAAAGATCCTCTTCATCCCTTACACCAAACATAAACGACAGTGGAAGGGGGTTAATCCAGTAACCATGTGTGATTAGTCATAAATCACCATCTGCCGGTGCAATCTTAAATTTTAAATTATTGGCCATTTTATTTTTTTAAATTTAAATGACTAAAAGTGGCCGATTTTATGAAAAAAGTGTTGGGGGCGGATTCTCCATCGAGGCAAAGGCGAGTCTTTTATTTACTTACCGTAAATTTAGTAACATGTAGGCCTACTTCTGATCAAGAAGTTATTTATAAAAAATATATGAAATATCACGGTTTTAAGTTGTAAAATGAGTCAAACCTGACAAGCTTAGCCTTATTCTACCCCATTTTACAAAACTATAAACCCTCACATTTCAGATATTTCTTAGTCAATCTTTTGAACTTTGTGTCCTTTCATAAAAAATTTAAAATTCGAAATATAATCTGGTAAATGAAGCGATTTTGGAAAAAGTTTAATTCTAGGTTTCCTGTTTATTTTGACCCAAGGAATCACTACGTAAATTATATCCACCTTTTTTAAACACTGTACCAAATGTGTCCATTAGCACTACAACTTATGCATAACAGATCCGATATTGATAAAATTAAATACAAAAGTGTAAACCTACGTTTATGCAAACAAGTTCACAAACCAGCATGATCGGACAATAGGAACTGGGATTTATGGGGGAAAATTTATCTATCCCATTTTTGAACCTAAAAACATTTTGTAAATTCTTTCCAAACCATTTTGTAGAGCTTAAAAAAAAATAATTTAGTACATTGAAGCGTTGTTGTATGCCTACTGAATAAGGAGAAAATAAAAAAAAGTGTAAATGTAAAATTCTCATGTTATTCTTGTGGAGAAAATGGGATCAGTTTTGCCCGAGTTATTGTGGTAACAGACACATAACATCAATAAATACTTATATATAAATTTGAACTGAGGTTGTTTTTGGCCTCTGGTTACCCCAAAACACCTTCAGTAATAGATTATTCCCTAGGTGAGAAATTTGCTACAAACATTTTGCAGTCAGTTTTTTGAGAATAAACCCAAACATTCTGGTGGTAATTTAATGTAAGAATATCTATTTTTGTTTCTACTACGTATGCCTACCCTACCTGATTTTAATAGAGTAATCCCTGTATAGGCATTATCGATAAATATGGAAAAATGTATAGATAATGTATTTAAAGTGGTTTTAAAAAAGCCATCCTTGATAAAGGGCCTTTTTACTAAAATATTGGTCTGTCAATATTTTTAGCGTTTTTTGTGTTTCAACTAAGACCTACATATTTGAAACGCAAGCAGTTGTCTCCCTTTATAAATAACTATGGACCCCTGGTAGGGTTTTCTACCAAATGACATAATTAACGATTGTTGAGAATGTTCAGTGACCATGATCAAAGCCATTGAACTCATTGAAGTCTGTTGATGTTTCTCAGGCAGCCTTTACTTGAAGCTAGGCAAGTTCAGTAGTGCTGCGGAGGTGTACAGGAAGCTATTACAGCGTAACCCTGAGAACACAGGCTACTACGGCAGTCTAGCAGACGCTCTACAACTACACAAGTCTGAGGAGAGACTGTCACTGCTGGCGGAGTACAGAGAGGTATATCCCAAGGCACTGGCTCCGGCACGTCTCTACTTGAACTATGCTCAAGGTAGAAACGACAAATATAACAATTCATAGAAAGTACTAATTTGCAGGTTATTATAATTTCCAGAGTTATGTCTTGTCTTATATTTCAAAAAGTTTTAGAAGACGATAGTCATTTCAAAATGTGGTAATTCACTTCTTATTTAACTAGTCTTCCTTATATGTAATAGTAATTTCTTTACAGAGTCTTAAAATGAGAACAGGTGGATTAGTAATGATCAGAACTGACAAGATATGTGTATGTATTGCAGGTGAACTGTTCAAACAGGAGGTAGACAGGTACCTGAGACGAGGCTTACATAAAGGAGTGCCTCCTCTGTTTGTGGACCTCAGGTCTCTTTATAAGGATAAGGAAAAGGTGGCAGTAATCCAACAACTAGCTGAGCAATACGTCCAAGCCCTCAGTAAAAATGGGCGGTTCAGTTTGGACGGTGAGTCATAATATCTTAGTTTGTGCTTGATGTAATTTTTTGTATCGATTTTATCAAGGACCAATCGTGGCAGGGTAGGGCAGTTGTAAATGAACAAAGAGAGGTTAACCATGATCCTTTGATTTTTGTTTCTTAACCTAAAACACATTATGTAGGCCTAATGTTCTGTGAAGTTTCCTATTGGAACTTGAACTAAAAGTTTCTTTGGCTAGCTAGCTGAGCTAAATTCCTAAAAAAATCTTGGTTCTTAATCAGTATCAAATAATTGATCAGTGATTGATTGGATCTAATAAAAAAAAAATATAGGTAACTTTTACCCATGTAGGTTTTACCTAAATTGTCTGTATGTACCATTTTCCACTGAGGATGCTCTTTCACAGTAAGAGTGAAACCTCTCACAGTGAATTTGATATTTTATACATGACTAGCTGTAACCCGCGGGCGTTGCCCCGTTTAACTTCTTAATTTTAAAGATGATCTCGTTCGCATGGCTCAATCACGTAATGGTTGAAGTCCGTTCGCTACGCTCACTCACCTTTAGGTTGGAGCTCGTTCGCTACGCTAACTCGCCTACAGGTTGAAGTTCGTTCGCTACGCTCACTCACCTTTTGGTTACAAATTAGCTGTTGTCATAAATGTAAAAGAAATAATAGTGCTGCACCCTGTTGGTAATCCTTGTAACTTTAATGCTATTGAACATCATAGAACAGAACCAACTTGTTTAATTGAAACAGCTGTTAAGATTCATTAATTCCATTTCTCATAAGGTTAACATGGGAAACTCCAGAGCCACTGGGGTGGAGCCGATATGACGGATCACGAAATTGATGGTGTATAAACCTATTCCATGAAATTCTACACGTATGTACCAAGTTTCGTGGCAATCGGTTCAGCGGTGTCTGAGTTTATCACTGCCAAACAAATATACAAACATCCTCTTTTATACTTATAGATTATGATCACTATATATTTCCCCTAATATTCCCCTAAAAAAAGTATAAATACCCCTGCAGTAACAAACCTGCTGACTAGGAAAATATCCATTAATATAAATATAATAGAGTTTTCACAAAAATATTTCCTTAATACGTCAGATTTATTTTCTATTTAAATAACATAAGGCTTGATGATTACTTAGGTATTATGATGCACCAGGGAAGGTAATTAACCCTTCCCAAACGGCGGCTGCAGGGCGGAGCCTTACTCACACAACCCGATCAATAATTTGGTTGAGGTTAAAAAAATAGTTGATTATAGACAGCTTTTTTATCAAAATAATTTTTTTACAAGTTTTATAACCATGTTGTGGCGTAGGTATACGTCCAACGCTCACTAAGGAATGCATTGATCTGCATATATATCTCTAAGGCTTGTCAATTTTGTTTAGGATAAACATTTATCTTTGATTAACTGTTCATTATTACCAAAGAACAAAACAGACTTAAGCCTATCTAATCCTAATACAATAAAAAATATTGATTCGGAATATTTTGAACCCAGCCGGCCAGTTTTGTAAACAATAGATGTTACGAGTTCAGTGTTGCCAACCCACCAATCAGAAATTTAGTTGAAAAATAAAAAAAGTTATGGCAACAATAATATTGATTAATGCCCTAAGGTAACTGTTGACGGCTAAGAAACAACTTTAAAATAATTCAAGAAATGATGTTAACATGTTTTGACGTAAGATTTGACGCGTCTTTGTCGTATATTTATGGCCAACGCCCAGGAAAAGTTAAGTGTTTTTTTTTGTAAAATTTTAACAGTACACTTTACCTAATCCCTCATGTGGCAGGAGATTCAATAATTTAAAAAATTGTCAAATTGTCTTAACACTCAGGAAAGCATAAATGTCAGTTACACATTTGCAAATGGCGACACTCCGTTCACCAACAATGCCAGTATTGCAGCTCACCGCTTAATTGTAGCATACACTGAAACTACGGAGCTACACACATAAACGGCCCATACTTTAAAACGTCCCTTGTATATATGAATTTGAAAGGATGGTATTTTTGGCCTCTGGGGACATAAAATAATAGAAAAACAATTAATTGGTCATACCATGAGACCTACGGTAATAGCCTATTTCTTTATGAAAAATTCCCTATAAGAGTTCATCTTTTACTTCCCTTTATCAGCTTCTACTACTCAACTCTCTCGTTATTAATTTAACAAATTAGACCAATGAGAACTAATTTTGTACAGAAACAAACGAGCCTAAGGAGCCTGCTTCTGCTCTGTTGTGGGTATATTACTACTTGGCACAACACTGGGACTTCTTGGGCAACACAGACAAGGCTCTGCAATACATCAATGCAGCCATTGAACACACACCTACACTCATAGAGCTCTTCGTCACCAAAGGCAGGATATACAAGGTATGCATTACAAATTAAGCCTTCAGCTAGTCAAACCTAATACATGTTGAAGCATCTTTGTCGTCTCTTGTGCAAAGCCGTTGGTATTGAAATAGCCTTGATACTCACCCTAGTTTATGATAATTATCACTTATTTTGTCACTGCACTGTTTATTTTGACGTTTGTCTTTGCATTACCACACAGAAGAAATTAGGGAACACTTTTTTCTGAGATACAGTGTAGTGTGCTAGGCTTTGCTGGCATCAACCAATAGCCTACCAGTTAAGTGTATAGAAGGTGGCTAAAGTCAGGGAGTATTTTGTATGTGTTTTTTTAGTTCTGAAAACTATAAAGTCGGTGATGTGATGTTCTGTAGGATAATCTAAACCACTACGGTTCTTTTTACTAAAAGATACATTTTGAAAATCTATATCATGAATTTTACATGACAAGAGATATAAGCCTAGACAAAAAAAAACTATTATTGCTGGCTAGCTACTAGATGCGCGACTCTCATTAAAAAGTAAATAATAAACTTTTCAGGTTTTTTTGTGAGGAAATCAGACTTAAATGAATGGGATAAAATTGACTCTGGCACAAGAAACAGAAAACCGTACAATATACGGTACAAAAAAATTATAATATTTCTTTGTCACTGACTCTAATAAAAATGTTTTGAAAATGATGTCAGTAACAGTTAAATACTTTAGTTTTGGTTATAATCTAATGTTTTGTGTTTCTTATTTAGCTACATTTTATCCCTCCTCATCCAGGCAAGCCTGCTATCCTTAGAAAATTCCTTAAAACCTAGGCCTCTATGATCTTCTTGTTACATCCCTTAGTAATTAGAAAATAAGATTTGACTCTATTCAATGTATTCATGTAAATATCAATAATGAATAAAGATTAGATTTGATTTGCTTTGTTTAATTAACTTGTTTGCTTGTGGTAGATATGTCTTTTGAATGCATTTGGCCAATACCACACAACTAGGGCTACTGTGTAAACTAAACTTTATCTGATAGAGAAAGTTTCTGAGGTTAAATATTCATACACAAGTTGTATTACACCAACTTTGTCATCTTTCAGCATGCAGGAGATGTAGTTGAGGCATTCAAGTGGCTAGACGAGGCTCAAGGTCTGGACACAGCTGATAGGTACATCAACTCCAAGTGTGCCAAGTACATGTTGAGGGCCAACTTAATCAAAGAGGCTGAGGAAACGTGTTCCAAGTTTACTAGGGTAAGTACAAACACATTTCTTTACTTGAATCTGTTGTACTTTACGTAAATTCTCTGGAGTTAGATAAAAAAAAATTGGAAAGATATGCTAATTGACAAGCTCTTTGTTTGCATAGTTGTATTAATGATTTCAGAGATAGTGGTGGAAGATAAGGATTTTCTATCAAAGTGGTCCCCATTTGTTTTAGGAAGGTGTGTCTGCAATGGAAAATCTAAATGAGATGCAATGCATGTGGTTCCAAACAGAGTGTGCCCTTGCCTACCAGAGGTTAGAGAAGTGGGGAGAAGCTTTAAAAAAGTGCCACGAAGTAGACAGGGTAAGTAAACATAAACAAACATTATTAACATTTTTAGGATATTAAATTCTGAAAAACAACTTCCATGATATAATTTTACTGTAAAACTATGAACTAGATGAAGCTTGAGGTCACTAATCAGTAGCCTCAGTGAGTAGACTTAATTTGTAAGTCAATTATCAAAATACTTCTGTGGGCTTCTAATCATAACACACTAAACTGTCAGTTTAGGTTTCTATCTAGAGATTTTGAAAGGAGTTAAAATCTCATAGCTCAGTACTTCAGAAACTTAACCTACATTAAACACAACCATCACCTCATTGATGACTTGTTAATGTCACTAAAAATTCATGCTCAGTCAAACTTGTATACTAATTTGAATTGTAGAATAAGGAGGATAGCGGCTAGCTTACTTTGAAGAAGTGCAGGTAGGCCATAAACAGAAGAGACACTGAACACACTGTCAGCATTGTGTCTTCTGTATGGTCTATGACCTACCTGCACTTCTTCAAGGTAAGCTAGCTCCTATTCTCCTTATTCTACAATTCAAAATACTGGTCTAGAGTTTTTCCTTAAAATAAACTTGTACACTAATTTGAACTTTTTTTTCTTTCTAGCACTTCTCAGAAATAATAGAAGACCAGTTTGACTTTCACACATACTGCATGCGAAAGATGACATTAAGATCTTATGTGGGACTCCTGCGGCTAGAAGACGTTTTAAGATCACATCCATTTTATCTGCGTGCTGCGAGATGTGCGATACAAGTCTACCTCCATCTTCACGACAAACCACCTCAGGACGAGACTGCAGAGCAGGATACCAATACAGGTGAGAGATGCATTTAATCAATTTTCTAAGTAGTGGTGTGTGATAGAATTTGTTCTCCATCTTCGTGACAAACCACCTCAGTATGAGACTGCGGGATAGGATACCAATACAGGTGAGAGAAGTATTTCATTAATCTTCTATTCTTCTCATAGTAATTAATGTATGATAAAACTTTACCTCCACCTTTACAAGGAGCTCACCCATCAGGGATCCCAAGTTGGCCAATATTCTGAGGAAAAGATCTAAACCCTTCAGATGACGCCTCCTAGTTGGCCCTGCTCCTCCAGGAAGGGCCCCTCTGTACTAAAGAAACCCAGACAAAGGAAGCCCAGGACTGAAGCTATACTGATAAAGCCCTCAGAGAGGGGGTGGTTTATTGCTGAAGTTTTGGGGAGCTTCAAGACTAAGGCCAAACCGTAAGATACAAAGACTGTCATCAAGTAAATCAGATGTACCTAGAGCTCTTAAAGCTCTTGAAATATGATGAAATGTTGGCTTTTGCTGGGAATGTCAATAAGGGCTTTGGGGACAAGGGTACCATTCATGAATTTGAGCTTAGGACTTAGGGTGGGGACCTTGACTGACTTCCCTGAGATCCTAAAAAACTCCTTGAAATTATGGATCACATGGCCTAACCGAAGAGAACAGCACATGACAGTTGCTTAAATGCAAGAATAATATGCCAGCATATTCCTGAATCTCATACACCTGAGAGTAGGATGAGCCAGTTTGCACATTTGTGGTTTCCAGACTCAACTGACACATCTTGGGTGCGAAACAGCATAGAAGCACCAGGGAGGGACTTGAAGCTTTTAGTCTCCACTCCACATTATCCCCAATGAGCCCGTTTGGTATTTTACTTCTTAAGATTTACCGCTTATATAGGAATATTAACCCTAGGACTGTCGTGTAGGAAATGCACTCTACAAACTCCCAGGGCAAAATACATCCTGGACTGCCAGGTCCGCACTCTTCCTGAATGAGGGCGGATCTCTAGCTTGAGAGTCATCAAAGACCTCACTACAATATATCGGATTTTTATAAACTTCATGAGCACCATCATGTGTACCACGTAGATGGAATTCAGACAAGCTGCATTTCAAGAAGTTAACCAATTTAATCTTGCGGGATAGTTGGAGAACCCAATTTCACTTGTTGAGGCTGGCGCTGAGGCATTGGTAATATAAAATATCTGATCCTGAGGATGATACTGATTTGACTTGGCTTGTAACCAGGCAATGTCGTGCAGGAGACTCTATTGTGACAAATGACCCTTGTACTGGGATCTCGAACGTTCAGAAAGCTTGTCTGAAAGCCAGATGTGCATTAATGGGGGGGGGGGGGGGATATTCCAAGGAAGATCCTTCGAAGAATTTCAAGGCTAAGTCAGCAGCCTACAGAGTTAAAGTTCTCCGCAGGGCGATGAACCAAAACAAGGCTAGCTCTTAAGGGAAACTTGTGAAAGTTCTCGACTCAGATTCTTTGAGACTGGGATACAAGATTGAAATTTGGTACCCAATCTCCACCTCCCATCGTGGGAGAACCGGTGCTATGGTGGATAATAAGAGTTGGGATGGAAATACCAGATCCTCCGTATAAAAGGCTCTTGGAAGTGTTGCTGATAAGTAAGCTTATAAAGAAGACTCTTGATGTGTGCAGTCCAGTTTAAAAGTGCTTCTTTATGGCTTTAAGGTGTGAGCAAGGTTGAAGAAAGAATTTGGTTGAGCCTTTGCCAATTGCAATGGCAGGATAGTTGGGAACAGGAGACTCGAAGAGGACAGACTTATAAGGCAGAACTAATGATGCAAGTAATATCGGTATGGCAAGGTTCTTGTTACATACAACTATTATCAGTCGTAGCTGATTTTTGATGGGCAAGTCCGGTTCACCCGACTGCATTTACTGTTTAGGTGATCCCAGCACAGAATACTTATCCTTCGGCTGTCCACGATGAAATGTGCTCCCAGCCAAAACTAATATAATTTTGTTAAGCTTCTTTTTTCATTTCCTAGTAATACATTTATAGCATACTAGCTGTGTGCCCGTTTTACGCACAGGGATCTTAAAGTAGTCAGTTGAAACCTTCTTATATTAGGAAAAGCAGTTGGTTTGCATATTTGCAGATATGCTGGCAAAACTATTTTATATAAACCTTCGCAAATACAGTATCTGACAGTTCAAGCCAAAATAAATGCTTCGCAATTAAATGCCACCCGGATCGTGTTGGTCCATATGTTAAATCCAATGATTAAACTAAAAAATGCTTTATGGATCCATGAGCCATAGCCCTAAGGTAAGCCTATAATTGAAAGTTACTTTCCACAATGGTTAAACGTATTTAAAGTACTACATCAACCTCACCTTTTAACACTTTATTCCGGTTGACATTTTCACTATCAAAGGTGCTCTTGTCCATTCCGTGAAACACTGAGAAATAAGGACATTAATGCGTTACCAACAGACATACACACAAAAATACAGAATTTAATTAAGGAATTTGCTATGCTTTAAGCTTAACAAAGTAGGCCTACATATAAAATTAGTATTTGAAATCTTTGTTTTGGAGCCTCCAAGCCCTAGGTCAGGTAAGAAATGAATTGCTGGACACGGATTGAGCCCTCTGGGCATAAGCAAACTTAAACTAGTTCTGATACTGTAGGCGAGAGTTGAGAAGTCCTTTGAGCCAGAGCGATATGCAGCAATGTTTGTATGTTGCCGCACAGTATTTGCAGGTGCTATTTTTGTTTTAACAAAGTGGATATGAGCCCTGACTGCCGCGTGGAACATGAGAAACCCGCCTAGCTGTCGAGTAGCAAGCGCCTGCATTTTTATAATAGGCCAGGGCTCAGAGGACTTCTCAACTCTCGCCTACAGTAAATTGCAACAAATTTCCAGGCTAGTTTCCGAAGATTAGAGGTTTTTAGTGAATAGTCTGTGGGTTTAAAACCCGTAAGAGACCCACACCACAGGCTAGCCATCTGTGTGCATAAACAAATTTTCCCACCTCTCCATAAAAATAAAGCTCCACCTTTACAAACCACCTCAGCAATACAGGTGAGAGCACAATTTCTTTTCAGTGTTGTTTGATACAAGTCTTCTTCCATCAGAGACTACATAGTGATTACCAATAATGAAATGTGTTTATTGTCTTGTGAATTTATACAAATTATTGATAATGTCCGAAAACTGCTAAAACTAGCATAGTCAGTTAATTAATACAATATACAATATTTACAAGAATACTACACACAAGGAGACATGTTACAATACATACTTTAATATTACAACCAAATAATCTTATTGTTAAGAAAAATGCAAGGCGTTTGGAATAATGGAAGTTATTAAACCCCATAACCAACTAAATCCAACAGTAATTTGGTAAATTTGCTAGCTATACTTAAAAATTAATAAAAGGCATTTCAAAAAAATCTTTTAGAGAATAAAAAGGGTTGTTCAAAAGCCATTTGTAGAATTAAGATTTAAAAGTTTGTTTAGGATATTTTGTTATTAAATGTATTAGCTTGTTGTATAGTAATTAAATACAGGTGAGAGAAACAATTAATCAATTTTCTCAATTTAGTTATGGGATCTAACGTACATCATATTCAACAATCCAGCCTAAATGAGATTTTTTACCTTAATGAGCCCTCAGGAAGAAGCGAAATGCTTATGGAGAATAGTCAGTCTGGAATTTTGCCCCCGAAATATGGAGAATAGTCAGTCTGGAATTTTGTCCCCGAAATGAGCTTTGCGTGGCGCCGCTACGATCGCTCGCGCAGAGGCCGCATTGCTCCATCTCTATCTCTTTCTAATCAGATTCTTTGTCTCACTGCTCACTCAGTCAGCTGACTTGGCCGGACGCTCGCGATAGTTACCTAGCTGGAACTATTGAAAATTCAAATATTTCCAGACTGAATTTTTTACAAAGGCTTTGCGCTTCTTAAAGGGTTTGTTTTCTTTGCCTTGAGCAGAGTTTGCTCATACTTGGCAAAATAGCCTAATATCCAATTACAGTAGATCCCTTTTTAACCGACCTTGCATTAACCGATAATCGGATTATACGGGTTTACTTATGACTTATCTATTGTAATTACTTAAAATACCCCCGCCGCAGCAAACCTGCAGACTAAGTGAATTTCCATTAACCTGATTGGATTTACACTAAAATGCCTCCATAAAAATATCACATTTATTTCCTATTTAAATAGAATTAGTTTAACGAGTACTTAGGTTTGCTGCAACAGGGAGGGTAAAAGTGTGTTTTTTTGTTGTAAAATGTTAATAGTTTAGTAAGAAATGAAAGTATTTTCCAAATTCGATCATAATATGTTCATAAACAAGCAAACTACAACAGTTGACTTATTCTCCATAAGAATAACATGGTAATTTTAAATTTACAATTTTTTTTCCGTAACCATTAGGCGCACAACAACGCTTCATTATACTAAATTATTTGTTTTTTTTAAGCTCTACAAAATGGTTTGGAAAGAAATTGTAAAATTTTGTGTTTTTAGGGTCATAATGAGAAAAACCTATTTTTACCCCATAGTCCGATCATGCTGGTTCGCGAACTCGTTCGAATAAATGTAGGTTTACACGTTTATACCAAATTTCATCAAAATTGGATCATTTTTGCTTGAGTTATTGCGCTAATGGACACACATATATATATATATAAAATATATATATATATAAGGGTGTAGCATAGAGCACAAGGGCCTAGATTTTTAGGATTTTTTGAGAGGATAGCAGGCTTACCTGAATGGGAAAGAGTCCAAACTGGCACAGGAAACACAAAACTTTACACTATATACACAAAACATTAGAATATTTCACTGTCACTGACAGTATTTTCAACTAAGGACATCTAGAAAACTCTCTCTTCCTTAGTTGAAAATGCTGTCAGTGACAGTGAAATATTCTAATGTTTTGTGTATATAGTGTAAAGTTTTGTGTTTCCTGTGCCAGTTTGGACTCTTTCCCATTCAGGTAAGCCTGCT